GTCTGTACATTTATGCAAGCGTAGCCGATCCCCATGAGTAACCCCCAATCAAATCCAAGCCGTCGAGCACCTCGTGCAGGAGCTTGGGGGTCACTTTACTACCACTCTTGTCGACGAACAATGTGGTAGCCAGCATCACCCACAGCCAGGCACCCGCCTCATCCCTAGCCGGCCGGTCTTTCCCCCTGAAGGCCCCTGAAATGGCGGCTTCGGACACCGAACCATGCTGCCAGAACGAACTCATGAGTTCGTCCTTGGTGACTGAAAGTATCGACATGCAGAGCCCATGGCAGGCGTCCGAATCCGGGTCCTCAGCGACCAAGACTCCCTCCACTGGAACGCCCAAAATGGCTCGGACGTCGTGCAGCATGATGCTCATCTCACCAAAAGGCATGTGAAACGAGTTAGTATCCGGCTGCCATCGCTCCACAAAAGCAGAAAGGAGTGGGGTGTCCAAGTGGGTGTGCATGGAGTCGACCAAATGTGACAGCCCGGTCTGGTCGAGAAGAGCTCCCGCATCGGAAGACATCTCTTCACGCCAAGCCTTCAGATTGTCGATCGCTCGCAGTCTGTTGTGGCATTTCAGTGGCCCCCTCAAATTCCCACTCCACATGCGGGAGGCGACGTGCCCAAGAAAGTTAGGGATGACACTCACATCAATGGGCCCACCGGGCACTGGGCCTCTAACGATCCAAGGTGCATCATCATCGGTCCTAGCTCGTTTGCTAGTACCTGCATTAAAATACAACATATCTGTATATATTGACTTGCTGGCAGATGCATTAAATAAAATATATTTAATAAAACATATTTTATTAGTTACGTTACATTTTNGACTCGATTAGATTCGTTTACACCCTAATTTGAATTGTAGAAGATAAATGCAAATTCCTTTTCCTTATTTTTTTTTTTTAATTGAAGATGATTAGTTGTAAAGTCAATACTATGAAATTTATTTTTCCCACCAAATCTACATATATTTTCGATATGGGTCATCACAAATCTGGCACAAAAACTTAATAAGAGATAACGCATTTAATTAATATATATCTTTTCGTGTTTGTTTCTTTCATTTTCCATTTTTTTTTTCAGTGGCGTGCGTTCTATATAGTATATTCAACCAACTATACGGAATTGAATGAATTTTTGAGCCCTAGTTCCTTTTATTTATATAGGACATGTGTATTAGTGAGACTGGGAACTTTTTTTTTATTTGTTTGGATTTCATGTGGTTGGACTTAATTAGACATGGCCAAAACGCGGGTTGGGGTACCGCTGGATCGACGGGCTCGAAAATAATGACCTTGAATCGGTACGGATCTATACTTGTGTCGGGTTTGTGTCTGGGCCGATTCGTGTCCGATCCGGACTGGGTCCGTGTAACAACAAATTTCGTGTATTGAATTTAAAAACACGAAAAATATTATTCAAATAAATTTCTTGAATCAAAATAAATATAATGGGTTACAATCTCTAATTTCTCCTCTGATTCTTCTCACGAACAATTTTAAGTCTTGGAGCGAAATCTTCGGCTTGATCTTCTCCTTGACTTGATTTGACTTGAATTAACGCTAATCCGAGGGTCAACGCCTTGATTTCGGATCAAACGTCGAAATATCCCAAGAACGCGAAGAACACGAATTCTTGGTCTTCGTCGCAATGTAGATCTTGAATCTTCTCCACGCCGGTTTTGAATTTACTAACGTTATTCGAAGGCTTTGCAGCTTGTTTCCGGATTGAACGCCAGTCTTGAGGTTGAATGCGCTTGAGGTTGAATGCGCTTGAATCTTGCTTCGAATTCTTCAAAAACGCCTTTAAATCTTCAAGAACACTTGAATCTCGTCGAGAGAATTCTCTAGAGCTCTTGAATTTTGAATATGAATTATGATGTGTGTGTTTTTTACATTAGGGAGAGCCCCTATTTATAGGTGTAGGAGGGAGAACCCTACCAAATTTAAGAATCGTAGGACGCGATTTGATTGGTCCATGATGATTCACATAAGATCTTTTAGATCCATTTAGATCTCCCAAGATCTTCTAGAAGACATGTGATTTATTACCAAGAATTAAGATTTGACACTTGGCGTTATTTGATTGGTCAAAAATTAAAATATTAAAATATCAATTAATTAACTATTTAAATTTAGGAATTAAATATATGGGAATTCCTAAAATATAAATAGAAAATATGACTTGATTTTTAATAAATTAATTTCCACGTGGCGCCATTGGATTGGCCACAATTTTTAAGTCTCTACAGTCCGTTACTTTTTTAAAAAACAATTAGAAAAAAAATAAAAATAAAAAAGGAGGGTCATTGACCCGGCCCGGCCTAGACCCGCCGGGCCGGGTCGTGAAATGTATGACCCTTACACGGTCCGTCTAAAATTCGGGCCGGTCCCAGACCCATGGTCAACAGGTTTGACCGGTCCGGGTCCATGCTGGGTTCGGGCAGGGTCGGCGGGCCGGGCGGCCCTTTGGCCATGTCTACATATTAACTTCAGTTACGTATGAAACCAGGAAATTAGGCAAAAATCCAATTTTGGTCCGCTAATTTGTCCATTGTCCACTTTTGGTACACTATCTTTCCCCTCATAAAAAATGGTCTATTGTGTTATATTTTTTATCAGTTTTAGTACGCTACTCCAGTTGGCGGGATTAAAAGATGACGTGGACCGGGATTGGAACTACGTGGAGGAATAAGATATTGACGTGGTAGGATAAAAACCTAATTTGACATCTCGTAATCCTGGGCCACGGGATTAGTGTACTAAAACTGATGAAAAGTGTAACATAATGGACCATTTTTTATGAGGGGAAAAATAGCGTGCTAAAAGTGGACAATGAACAAGTTAGCGGATTAAAATTGAATTTTTGCCCAAGAAATTAATACTATTTTTTTTTTTTTNAAATTTTAAATATAAGAAACCAGAAAATCTTGGTAGTACAATAATTTGAGATGGAAGAATAGCTACTCGCACATCAACAATTTTTAAAACGTGGTCTAAGTACAATTTATATCATGTGGCAGTGGTATGTCCATCCTTCGCCATCTTCAATTATCATACTATTTAGCTTTAGGAAAACTATTACGCAATCTATGTCTAGGAAATCATAAGGTCATGCTCGAACTTAAAGAGCTTCTCCAACCCACCCACAAACTCAAATGGAAACCCAAAACAATGCTTCAACCGATAATCATGCATAAACCCATTTTTTTTTTTTTTTTTTACATGCTTAATCTCTCTATTTAAATTTTATTTGTAGTACACTATGTTGGTCATTTTCGAAAAAGTTCATCATATAAGGTATCATCAAGAATGGTCCACTAAGTTGAATGACAATCACTTTTAGTACACTATGTTGGTTTTTGTACGAATTTTGATTAATGTGGCAATTTAGTTGACCATTTTTGTTAACGCCTATATGAAGGATATTTTTTGGAAAATGGGCAACATATTGGACCATTTTTTAAATTTTGCCCAATCGAGACAACATAAAATTGGGGTGTCATCAAGGCAAATTTTCATTTTTGCTTCACAATATTGGTCACCGTGTGTAACACCTCACTCCGGTCCAAATGCTTGAACTGACCGTCCAAATGCTTGAACTGACCCTCGAACTGCCCTTTTAACTACAAAAAATATGTTCTCCAAGTAAAACCTACGACGCTCAAGTTAAAATTTCCTCAAAAAAATGTTTCGAGTATTTAGTATGTTGAGTTTTAGGGTTTCTCATAGCTGCATCGCCTTTATTTATATAAATTACTTTGTAAATAGACATTGTCAAAAGCCGGGTCGCCCGGTTCATTAAAATGTCACTCCATGTTCAAAATGGGTCCGACGATTGGGGCCGATTAAGGGAGGCCCATATGATATCGTAGAAATAAAGTTTCACTACACGAAAATGATGAAATTTCTTTGCAGTGTTTATTCATTGATATTATATAAATTTTCAATTTTTTTAGTATAACCTTTATTATTTTATTACATAATTAAATTTTATAAACTTTTACATCCATTCTTAAAAAATCTTGAATTATTTTTGTTTTTTTTTTTTTTGTTTTTTTTATTGGAGGAAAAATAATCATAATTTTTTTTGTCAAACAATAGTATTCAAAGGTAGAGGGAACTAAGAAAATATATAAAGCATTGTGTAAAAAATATACCAAAATAAAATTATAAATATATTTTTTATAATTAATTTAAAAAGGCCAAAAAGAAAAAAAATATTAAAGTAAGAAATTACACNTTATTATTATTATTATTATTATTATTATTATTATTATTATACATATATGTATTAAATTGAAAAAAAAAAGAGTGAGGAGCAGTGATCCGGCTAGGCAGTGCTTAGAGCATCTCTAGTCCATGGATTGTTCCTTTTTTGTTGTCATCTGGCGTAATAAATAGTGGAGAATGCTACTATATCTATGGTTAAAAATACAATGGAATCATCCCGTAACGGGATAGTAGCATTCTCCATAAATAGTATTTTTAAACATCATCTCCTATATATTATATTACTTATTAAATATTCTGTCATGTCCAACCATGTCAAATTATACTAAAGTTACATTAACCATTTGAGACAAAATTTTATAGTTTTCTCTATATTATACATCTCCAAACGAAGAACATACCATTTGAGAATTGAGATGTTCTTAGAGTGTTTTGGTTTCGCGTATTTGTTGGGATGCAAATTAAAGAAAATGCTAAGGTCCCGTTACGGGATGGTGTCGTCAGTATTTTTTACCATTAAATATACATGTAAATTATGTTGTGTGGATAATCTGCGGTAACAAACACTGACGGAACCATTCCATCAACATAAATGTAGTCATCCCCTAGATGCACTTAATTAATTCATTCCTGGGTAAAAGTTACAGCAATATTTTATTGTTCATACAAACTGAAAAACCCACCCACGCAGCACAACTGCTTACGGATCACTTATACAAATTCAACTTCACCACCAACACATCAAAGCCGGCAACCACTTCACTTTAATTTCTCAGTACTCATCTTGATCATGCCTTTGTCATCATCTTCATCAACTCTCTCGAACACCGCACTGAGCACGCCGTGTGCCTCCGGCAGGGCCACGCTCAAGCGGCCGTGGAACGAAATGGTCAGTGGCCCACACACGCGCGTGGTCGAAATCCTTGGGCAGTATGCGAGCCTATGGACGAGTGATCCCCCGGCTGACTCGATCGTGAACAGGCTGTCCCCGGCCCCGACACTTCCCCCCGTCGTGACGCCGAAGCCCCGGAGGAACGAGTCGAATCGGACGGCCCAGAAGCCGCCGTCGTTGCACGCCGTGTCCGTGGAGAGGGTCGGGAACTGTATGCTGATCTCGGTCGAGGTGCGGACGGGATGCCCGGCTTCCGACACGTCTGGTAGGTGGAAGGTCACGGGGAGGCCTGGCCCGGCGAATATGCGCCAGCCCAGGATGAGGTCGAGAGGGCAGGAGGAGTTGAGCTGGAGGGGGTCGACGTTGATGTCGCCTTCGCCGGCGCCCCAGGTGGAGGACCTGATGCGGTATTGGACGCCCGTGACCAGCTCTTGTCCCGAGGTGTCCAGTATTGGGGCCGGGGGAGGAGTTTGGGCGGCGGTTAATGAAACGAGGAGGAAGCAGGCGAGGGAGAGCATCTTCTTCTTCATTGTCATTGTTTGTGATTAAATTTGTATAGATAGAGAGATGTAAGTGGCTATTGGGGTGTGAATTGTGGAGGAGAGCCCTTGCCTCGTTTTATATGGCCAACACACCTTATCAACTTCACTTACGTAGACGAGGAAATTCTATAATTTTCCTTTTTTTTATCACTAGTAAAACATGTGATATACATAGTTTTAATATTTTTATAATTTTAGATTTTGTTTTTTTATATTTATGTAGTATATTCAATTTTTTTTGTATTATTATTTTTTATTAATAAAAAAATTATATTATGCCATGAATTATTAAAAGTTGAAATATAACTTTTTAATAATGATTATAATTGAAATTTATGAAAAAAAATAGAATAAAAAATACATTTGATGCACAAATGAACATTTCTTGAAGCAATTGATAATATGTCGCAATTATTAGCCACAGCTTATAAAAGTCATATAATTTAATTTATATGGGATGATTTCCCACGGGAATGACTCTTACCGCGAGAATGAATAGAATTAATCATAGTCATTACTAGATATGTTAGATTGAAGGATGAAAGAGCAGATTAACATGGCCACGGGCTGAACCGGCCCGTGGCCCGGACCGTGAACCGGTACCGAACCGGCTCGGACCGGCCCGTAACCGGCCATATTTGGGCCGGTCCGTTGGACCGAACCGCAAGGGTCGCGGTTCGGTCCAGGTTCCAAAAAAAAAAAAATTGTACCGGCGGTCCGGGCCGAGTCGGGTCGGGCCACGGNATTATAAAATGTCAAGCTCTCGTGGTGGTCGTGGTTCGAATTTCGGACAGAAACGTAGAAATATCGGCATCGGCCCATCTTCGTCGAGACCTCCATTACCGGAATTTGCGAGTCCGTCGATACATGTGGATATTCCCGGTGTCGCCGATGACATTGATGAGGCGACGATCGAGCGCATGTTTGGCTCAATTCAGCCTGAGCAACAAGAGCAACAGCAGCCGTATCACGACCATTTCGATGATATATTTGGAGAGTCCCCGCCGGAGGTTCAGCAACCGACTCAACAGCAACAGCCGGACCCGGAGGTCCCGGACCCGGGCCACCCAGCCTCTGCCTTCGCCCGTGCCAGACCGGCATCTGCCATATTCAAACAACATTACACGAAGGTGGCCAATCCGACAAGAGGTGAGAATCACTTTTTAACTGTTTGCAACTACTGCCCGGCGAACGACAAGAAGCAATACCATTTCAAAAAAGGCGATGGGTACGGATCGTTGAAACGACACTTAGAGAGGGTTCATCCGACAAAATTGGGAATTGACAGAGCACAGACGCAACTCCCAAGTAGTAGCGCTGCATCAGCCACGATTGGTACAGGTACGCCAACTTTATTTCAGTACTCACATGAAAATCATCGACGCCATTTAGCTGAATTTGTTTCTGCTTCATCTCTTCCGTTTAGCTTTGGTGATAGTGATTTATATGAACATTTTGCTCAAATGGCTTTGAATCCGGCTGCCCACCGGGTTCCACGTACTACTCTTACTCGCGATATTCGAAAAATAGTGGCGGAAAAAAAAGTAATTTTGCAAGAAATCTTTAAATCTTTAAATCATAGAGTATCCATTTGTGCTGATATCTGGTCTGATCATTGGCAAAATAATTTCTATTTGGGAATTACTTGTCATTGGATAGATGAAAATTGGAGTTTACAAAAACGTTTAATTGCTTATGTTGCATTTCATGAACGACACACTTCTTCTAATATTGCTCGTTTAATTTCAAAAATTTTGGATAAATATCAAATAGGTAAAAAAGTGTTTTCCATTTCGTTTGATAATGCTACTGCAAATACTGCATCTATACGTGAACTTACCGATATTTGCACTACAATTAGCGGCGGAAGATTTTTTCATATTCGTTGTATATGTCATGTCTTAAATCTCTGTGTACAAGCTGGTTATCATGCTTTTAAAGATTCGGTCAAGCCAATTAGGGACGCTGTTAATTATTTACATAAACGTCCCCATGAAATGAAAGCATGGGGACGTTTTTGTAAAGATCAAGGGGTGAAACCTAAAAAATTTCAACCCGACGTTCCTAACTGGTGGAACTCAACATTTAAAATGTTGAGTGACACGGTTCCGTTTATGACACAATTGCAGAATTTTTTTAACCATTCAAACCGTAAGGACTGTGATGTCCGAGTGTCAACAAGAGATTGGGAGAACTGTAATGCACTTATACAATTTTTAGAAACATTTCAAAATGCCACTAACATGCTTTCTGGTGTTTATTATCCTACTGCTCAGCTTGTGTTAGGTCAAGCTATAGCCATAATGTGGGCTTTCAAGGATCTTTACAACTTAAATTTTAATAAATATGGCTATTTAGTTGAGGAAATGTTAAAGAAATGGTTGAAATATTATTATTTCATTCCTGATACACATTTAGTTGCATGTTTGTTAGATCCTTCGGTACGTGAAGCTCGCTTGGTAGAGCAGCTTAACATGTATTATGATTATATGTATGAACTCCCAATCCCGACTGATGTCCCAACATACAGTAAAAAACCTAACGTACTGCTGCTCGTCGAGCAAGCAAAATATTTGTTGTATGACATGTTTAAGGAAACAACGATTGCACAAGGTGAACCTCCCAGCACATTCGTTCGTGGCGGCGGGGGCAGCAGCAGCGGGTCTTCTTCTTGCGGCGGTAGTCAAGTAGGCGCTTCGAACTTTCAGGAGTGGTGGGCATCATTAAATCCCTACAAGAATGTTGGCGTTGAAAGGGCAAAGGGAACTGGATACTATGAGCTTGATCACTACCTAACGTCGAACTTGATACTTACGATTGCTCGTGAACCAAGTCCGCCACTCAATTTCGATGTCTTGGACTGGTGGTCGAGAATGCAAGGTATTTATCCTATTCCTTGCTTGATGGCCAAGGAGATTTTCGCCGTCCCAGCATCTACAGTTGCGGTCCAACAAGCCTTCAGCGAGGGAGGTTATATGCTCGACGCACGACGATCGCGGCTGACGCCCGAAAACCTACAAGCACAAATGCTGCTGATGGATTGGAAAAAAGCCGAACGAAGGATGCAAACAGCTATGTACGTAGATGACGAAGCAGACGACGACGATGACGCATCTGATTTTACGAGTACGACGAGTGGTGGAACCGGAATAGGAGATGACGAGTATGACTATTAGAGACCACCAATCGTGTACAGGTAAGTAAATCGAAAGAACTACGTGGACTTTGATTCCCAATATAAGGGATACGTAGGCAACTTAATTGCCATTTATAAGTTAAAATATCATTTTTTTTCCCAAAACAAAAAAAAAGTTCAAGTTATATGATATTTTAACTTAATAAATGTCAATTAAGCTCAAGTCCAATTTTTTTTCTTTTTTTTTTATATATATCAATTTTATAATATCTAAACGTAAAAAGAATTAATTTTCCTGTAGAAAACATTGTTCAGAAATCTTCAGTTAAAATATCAATTAAAATAAGTTAAATTAGATCAATAGAAGGATGTTCTATAATGAAGACAATCGCAGTATCTTAACTTAACTTAACAAGAATTAATTTGCCTCTAGAAAACATTGTTCAGAAATCCAGGCAATAATATCAATTATTCCAATAATGCCCCGTCCACAATCTCCGTTGTTGTAATGTAGACGTATTAGAGAGTGCGACGCAGTTTCCACAACGGAGATTGTGTGCGTGGCATTATTGGCGTAATTGATGTTATTGCTTTGATCATTATTTAGTCAATTTTTGGAATTTCTTGAGTTGTAAGTAAATTAACAAAAAGTACTTGGACATTTTAACACACCACTAATACGTAGGCACCTTAATCCTTTAGTTAAAATATCAATTAAAATAAGTTAAATTAGATCAATAGAAGGTGTTCTATAATGAAGACAATCGCAGTATCTTAACATAACTTAACAAGAATTAATTTGCCTCTAGATAACATTGTTCAGAAATCCAGACAATAATATAAATTATTGCAATAATGCCCCGTCCACAATCTCCGTTGTTGTAATGTAGACGTATTAGAGAGTGCGACGCAGTTTCCACAACGGAGATTGTGTGCGTGGCATTATTGGCGTAATTGATGTTATTATTTTGATCATTATTTAGTCAATTTTTGGAATTTCTTGAGTTGTAAGTAAATTAACAAAAAGTACTTGGACTTTTTGACACACCACTAATACGTAGGCACCTTAATCCTTCAGTTAAAATATCAATTAAAATAAGTTAAATTAGATCAATAGAAGGTGTTCTATAATGAAGACAATCGCAGTATCTTAACTTAACTTAACAAGAATTAATTTGTCTCTAGAAAACATTGTTCAGAAATCCAGGCAATAATATCAATTATTCCAATAATGCCCCGTCCACAATCTCCGTTGTTGTAATGTAGACGTATTAGAGAGTGCGACGCAGTTTCCACAACAGAGATTGTGTGCGTGGCATTATTGGCGTAATTGATGTTATTGCTATGATCATTATTTAGTCAATTTTTGGAATTTCTTGAGTTGTAAGTAAATTAACAAAAAGTACTTGGACTTTTTGACACACCACTAATACGTAGGCACCTTAATCCTTCAGTTAAAATATCAATTAAAATAAGTTAAATTACATCAGTTGAAGGATGTTCTATAACGGAGACAATCGCAGTTGGCGTCGTTTACAGGGTTCTTACATGCTCAACAGTCTTCCAACATAGCAAGAAAGCTGCAGTCTTTTCACACACCACTAAAAATAATTTGATACAATAATTCAATAGTTTTAGTGTGTGTGGAAAAGACTGTAGCTTTCTTGCTGTGTTGGATGATTGTTGAACATTTAAGAACCCCGTAACCGATGCCAACGGCAATTGTTTCCGTTATAAAACATCTTTCACAAATTTAAACAATAACATCAATTACATCGAGTATGCCACGTCCACATTCTCCCATTGTGGATCCTGCTTCTCACTCTCGCATACGTCTACAATATAGCAGTTAGAGTTC